GGGGGTGGAGCAAGGACGCAGGGGAGGAGCAAGGACACGGGGGGGTGGAGCAAGAATGCAGGGGCGGGGCAAGGACATGGTGGGGTAGGGCAAAGGCCCAGGGGACAGGGGAGCTGTGGGGGGTAGGGACAGGGCGGGCACTGGGGCCTCTGCCCAGGGTTCAGACCCCCAGTTCCCGGGTCCCCATGCAGGCAGGGAAGGCAGGAATGCGACGACCCACCGCACTGGGCCTCACCTCGGTGGCTCAAGGCACCCGGGCCAGCACAGGCCCAGCCAAAGCACTGGGGACTGCAGCCCACCCTCTAGGACACTGCCTGCCCCAGGCCCCCACACTTCGTGGGCCAGAAATGAGGCTTCAGGATGCAGCTGGCAGGACAGCCAGGGGCCCACACAGCCCAGGTGGACAGGAGGGCCTAAGCAGCTCAGTTGGTCAGTTGGTTGGGGGCCCTTTTAGCCCAGGCGGTCAGGGTCAGAGGTAGGGGGTGGGGAGTGGGGATGGGCACCTTCCACTCCACGTCCCCATTGAAGATCTCACTCTTGGCGATGTCCACATGGTCCCAGGCCACAGCCAGCTTGAGCTCATCCAGGTAGTCCTGCGCCTTTTGGGTGTGGCTCTTGCAGGCTGCAGGCCGAGCCAGAGGGAGGGTGTGAGGGTGGGTGCAGGTTCCCCAAAGGCAGGTTTTCTAGGTGTACGAACACTGGCCTTTGCCCAGGGTCTGTGGGGGAACAGTTCACTGTCCCCAAATAACATGAGAGGCACATGGCTTGGTCAGGAATGTCCCCCCAAGCCCTGGAGTGGGTGGTGGCGGAAAGGGCGCCTCACGCCTCCTGCTGGGACAGGCTGAGCAGAGTGAAGGTGGAGATGGGGACCTGTCTCGCTCCCCAGTGAGGGGCACCCTCCCCAAGCCTCTTCCTGCCTCCCAAGGACCTCAGGAGTAACAGGAGGAAGGTAGGGGTCTCGGCTAACACCGTGGGCTGCCAGGCCCCTCTCTGGCACTGGTGGTCCAAGACCCCTCCCAAAACGGGGAGGGCAGTTTTGCCATCTCTTGCCCCGGAAGGTCCACTCTTGGGCAAGGCCATTGCAGTGCCTGGGGCTTGGCACTGCCCACTGTGACCCGCCATCACCCCGAGACCCAGGCATGTCAGCCTTACAGGGCCAGTGGACATGACTACCCGGGTATTGTGGTGCCTTCTCCCAGGACTGCGGGGACCAGTGTGACTTGTGTGACCATGCGAGCAGGGGCTCACTGGGCCTCAACTCAGTATTTTATTGTCTGGGGTGCAGTCATAAAACCTAGCGCCGCCCACAGTCCGGATGCCCGACGGCCCGACAGAGGGGCCTCCCCTGGTGCAGTGTGCCCCCTACCATCAGCGCCGCCCCTTCCCCACCTCAGGCCTGTGTCTGCTGCGAGTGGTCAGCCCCCAGCCATGCATTTGTCTCCAATAAAAAGCACACGGCATCATAGCCAGAGTGGCCGCAGCCCCACTGTCCATTAGTAGGTGAATGGATAGATGAAATACGGTCCATCCGTACAATGGGGAATTGTGCGGTCATGAAATGAAGGCCTGATACATACATGCTACGGCACGGATGAACCTTGAACACATAACGCTGAGTGACATAAGCCAGTCACAAAAATACCACGTATTGTATAACTACATTCATATGAAGTGTCCAGAACAGGCAAATCCATAGAGACAGAAAGTAGATTAGTGGTTGCCTAGGGCTTGGGGTGTCAGGGGAAAATGGGGAGTGACTGCTGATGGGTCTAGGGTTTCTTTTTGGGGTGATGAGAATGTTCTGGAAGTAGATAGTGGTGATGGTCGCACAATTCTGTGAATGCACTGTTGTTATGTTGTTGTTGGGTGCTATCGAGTCAGTTCCAGCTCATAGCGACCCCGTGTACAACAGAACGAAACACTCCCCGGTCCTGCGCCATCCTCACAATCATTGCTATGCTTAAGCCCATTGTTGCAGCCACTGTGTCAATGCATCTCCTTGAGGGTCTTCCTCTTTCTCGTTGACCCTGTTCTTTACCAAGCATGATGTCCTTCTCCAGGGACTGATCCCTCCCGATAACATGTCCAAAGTATGTAAGACGATGTCTTACCATGCTCGCTTCTAAGGAGCATTCTGGTTGTACTTCTTAGAAGACAGATTTGTTCGCTCTTCTGGCAGTCCCTGGTATATTCAATATTCTTCACCAACACCATAATTCAAAGGCATCAATTCGTCTTTGGTCTTCTTTATTCATTGTCCAGCTTTCACATGCATATAAGGTGATTGAAAACACCATGGCTTGGGTCAGGTGCACCTTAGTCTCCAAGGTGACATCTTTGCTTTTTAACCCTTTAAAGAAGTCTTTTGCAGCAGATTTGCCCAATGCAATGCGTCCTTTGATTTCTTGACTGCTGCTTCCACGGGTATTGATTGTCAATCCAAGTAAAATGAAATCCTTGACAACTTCGATCTTTTTTCCGTTTAACATATGTTGCTTATTGGTCCAGTTGTGAGAATTTCTGTTTTCTTTATGTTGAGGTGTAATCCATACTGAAGGCTGTGGTCATTGATTTCATCAGTAAGTGCTTCAAGTCCTCTTCACTCTCAGCAAGCAAGCTTGCGTCGTCTGCATATCACAGGTTGTTAATGAGTCTTCCTCCAATCCTGATGCCTCATTCTTCTTCGTATAGTCCAGCTTGTCGGTTATTTCCTCAGCACACAAATTGAATAAGTATGATGAAAAGATACATCCCTGACGCACACCTTTCTTGACCTTAAACCATGCAGTATCCCCTTGTTCTATTCGAACGACTGTCTCCTGATCTATGCACAGGTTCCTCATAAGCACAATTAAGTGTTCTGGAATTCCCATTCTTCACAATGTTTTCCATAATTTTTTCTGATCCACACAATCGAATGCCTTTGCATAGTCAGTAAAACACAGGTAAACATCTTTCTGGTATTCTCTGCTTTCAGTCAGGATCCATCTGACATCAGCCAGGATAGCTCTCGTTCCATCTGGCGAGGTCCACGTGTATAGTTGCCGTTTATGTTGGTGAAAAAAGGTATTTGCAATGAAGAAGTCATTGGTCTTGCAAAATTCTATCATGTGATCTCCGGCATCGTTTCTATCACCAAGGCCATATTTTCCAACTACTGAATCCTTCTTCGTTTCCAACTGTCTCATTCCAATCACCAGTAATTATCAATGCATCCTGATTGCATGTTTGATCAATTTCAGTGCAGAAGTTGGTAAAAATTTTCAGTGTCTTCATCTTTGGCCTTAGTGGTTGGTGCGTAAATCTGAGTAATAGTCGTATTAACTGGTCTTCCTTGTAGGCGTATGGATATTATCCTACCGCTGACAGCGTTGTACTTGAGGACAGATCTTGAAATGTTCTTTTTGACGATGAATGCAACACCATTTCTTTTCAATTTGTCATTCCCGGCATAGTAGACCGTATGATTGTCCGACTCAAAATGGCCAATACCAGCCGTTTCAGATCACTAATGCCTAGGATATGGATGTTTATGCGCTCCATTTCATTTTGACAGCTTCCAATTTTCCTAGATTTGTACTTCGTACATACCGTGTTCCTTTTATTAATGGATATTTGCAACTGTTTCTTCTCATTTTGAGTCATGCCACATCAGCAAATGAAGGTCCCGAAAGCTTGACTCCATCCACGTCATTAAGGTTGACTCTACTTTGAGGAGGCAGCTCTTCCCCAGTTGTATTTTGAGCGCCTTCCAACCTGAGGGGCTCATCTTCCGGCACTGTATCAGACAGTGTTCCGCTGCTATTCATAATGTTTTCACAGGCTAACTTTTTTTGGAAGTAGACTGCCAGGTCCTTCTTCCTAGCCCGTCTTAGTCTGGAAGCTCAGCTGAAACCTGTCCACCATGGGTGACCCTGCTGGTATTTGAATACCGGTGGCATAGCTTCCAGCATCACAGCAACACACAAGCCCCCACAGCACGACAAACTGACAGACATGTGGTTGGGGGGTGGATGTAGTAAAAGCACTGAAGTGTACACTCACACACACAGTGTGGCAATCCCGGATGGCAGACAGAGTGACACTGTCCCAGGGAGGTGTCAGGCCTTCCCCAGGCGCAGGCCCTATGGGGGTCGGGACACCAGGAACAAGCAGGACATGGGAAGTGGCCCCGTGCCAGGTGAAGGGCCCAGGGTAGCCATCCCTCCTCACCCCTGCCTTGCCCTGTGCTCTCAGGTACTCCCCACACCTCTCTCCCCACTGAGAAGTGGTGGGAGCCCCAAGGTACCCCGTGGGCATCCAGTGGGAGAGCCCCAACGCACACGCTTGGTGCTGCCCTCCAGCCTCACCTTTCACCAGCGCCTTCAAGATGACGGTGTCCAGCTCCTCGGAGCCCTCCTGCTCGAAGTCATACACCGTGAGCAGGTGCGGGTGTGCCGTGATGGTCTGCAGCTGGGGAGGCCAAGCAAAGACTTGAGGGGTGACATGGGCCACGGGGAGGACAACCACAGGCCCGAGGGGCTCGTGGCCAAGGCCCCCCATGCCAGGAGGGCCTGAAGAAGAGCTCGCTCGCCAGGGCTGTGCAGGCAGGAAGCCGAGCTGCACGAGGTGGGCTGTCCTGTGGGGACAGGAGGCCAGAGGACGGTACCCGCAGGGCCAGCCCCAGCCCGGGAGGAGGGATGGGGGTTAGCGTCGGCCATGTGTACCAGCCTGGTCCAGTGCACGATGTCTTCCCAGGAGAAGTGCTCTCTGGGGAACTTCTCTCTAAACTGCTTCTCAGCCACCTGGGGCACCAGGAGGTGGGGCTGGTTCATGAGCGCGGCGAGGACATCGGCAATGCCCCCGGAACCCGCCAGGATCAGCCACGGGGCCGCGTGCGCCAAGGCCTTGGAGATCCTCTATGGGGGACGGGACACCGGAGCGGGGAGGGGAGAGCAGATCCCACAATCAGGCCCAGGCACCTGTCTGATGTGCCCCCTATCCCTCCTCCCCACCCAGGCCCCCCACCTCGCTCCCCACCCCTACCTCCAGGGCGCTGGGGTCACCGCTGACCAGCAGACAAAGGACTGGAATCTCAGTGCTACTGGTGCCTGTAGATAGAGCGTCCGTGACATGAGGTCCCCCCGGATGCTCAGGCGTGGGCGGGTGGGGGAGCATTCAGGAGGGGAGGTAAAGCGGACCCTGGGGGCCCAGCAGGAGGAGACCACCAGGCCTCAGAGCGTCCACCCGCCATGTTTGCTGGGGAAACGCCGGGCTCCGGGCTGCACACCAGGGGCTGTTTATTCCAAGGACCCTAACACTGCTTGTGCGCCCTCCAGTATGGGAGCTTTGTGGCCGTAGCCACCACATAGCTATTTGAATATACATTAACTTAAACAGAATGAAAACACAGTTTCTCAGGAGCGCTGGCCACGTGTCAAGGGTTTAGCATCTCCCACGCTGAATGGGGCAGACGCAGTATCTCCACCCTCACAGAACATTCTGTTGCCACTGAGGCAAACCAAAGAGGTAAATGGGCATTTTGGGGGTTTCTGCCCTGGTGGCACAGTGGTTAAGAGCTACAGCTGCTAACCAAAAGGTTGGCAGTTCGAATCCACCAGCCACTCCTTGGAAACCCTATGGGGCAGTTCTACCCTGTACTATAGGGTCACTATGACTTGGAATCAACTTGACTGCAATGGGTTTGGGTTTTTTTTTGGCCCAAACATAGGAGTCCCTGGGTGGTGCAAACAGTAAAGTGCTTAGCTGCTAACCAAAAGGTTAGAGGTTCAAGTTGACTCAGAGGCACCTCAGAAGAAAGGCCTGGCAATCTGCTTCAGAAAAATCAGCCACTGAAAACTCTAGGGAGGCTCAGTTCTACCCTGACGCACATGGGGTCGCTGTGATTTGGAGCTGACTCAGTGACAACTGATTTTTGGTGCCCAAACACAAGCTGGAAATGAGGCTTCCGAATAAGAAGCCCCAGAGACGCCCCGCTATGCCACAGTCTCCGGCAAACTGCCCGGGGATGTCAAACCCCAAGCAGGCGGCAAGTCTTAGATTCACCCAGAGGGAAACTGACTTCCGGGCGAGGTCCCCTCTAACGTCTAAAGGCGCCCCCCCAAGTAAGCCTTGGGCGTAAGCTAGGCCTGGCCGGGGACATACATGCTGAGCAAATAGTCAGAGAAGCTGGACTATATGAAGAAGAATGTAGCATCAGGAGTGGAGGAAGACTCATTAACAACCTGCATTATGCAGATGACACAACCTTGCTTGCTGAAAGCGAAGAGGACTTGAAGCACTTACCGATGAAGATCAAAGACCACAGCCTTCAGTATGGATTACACCTCAACATAAAGAACACAAAAATCCTCACAACTGGACCAATAAGCAACATATGTTAAACGGAAAAAAGTTTGAAGTTGCCAAGGATTTCATTTTACTTGGATTGACAGTCAATACCCATGGAAGCAGCAGTGAAGAAATCAAATGACCCATTGCATTGGGCAAATCTGTTGCAAAAGATCCCTTTAAAGTGTTAAAAAGCAAAGATGTCACTTTAAAGACTAAGGTGTGCCTGACCTAAACTGCGGTGTTTTCAATTGCCTCATATGCAAGTGAAAATTGCACAGTGAATAAGGAAGACTGAAGAAAAAATTGATGCCTTTGAATTATGGTGTTGGCAAAAAATATTGACTATACCATGGACTGCCAGAAGAATGAACAAATCTGTCTTGGAAGAAGTACAGCCAGAATGCTCCTTAGAAGGGAGGATGGCGAGACTTCGTCTCACATACTTTGGACATGCTGTCAGGAGGGATCGGTCCCTGGAGAAGGACATCACGCTTGGTAAAGTAGAGGGTCAGTGAAAAAGAGGAAGACCCTCAATGAGATGGATTGACACAGTGGCTGCAACAATGGGCTCAAGCATAACAACGATTGTGAGGATGGCGCAGGACCGGGCAGTGTTTTGTTCTGTTGTACACGGGGGTCAGTACGAGTCAGCAGTGACTGGACGGCACCTAACAACAAAAACGTTTCCCAGAGTAGACTGCCAGGCCTTTCTCCCGCAGAGACATTGGGTGAGTTGGATCACCAGCTTTTCAGTTAGGAGTTGCCTGCTGAACCATTGCACTGCCAGGGCCCCTATGTATTAGTCACTTCCTAATATTTTCTTGATAAATCCCACTTTCCAACCTGGCCCTGGCCAGAACTACCCCCATTCCTTGGGCAGCACTGCCCCCTGGTGGCGGAGTTCCTCCCGGTGGGCAGAGGGAAATGGCCTGGTGCCACCTGTGGATCTCATCTTCCTCCGCAGGAGGGTCTAGCCAGGCCGCCCCCGTGGGATTGGAGCTGCAGGAGGCCAGGGTCCCGGGTCTGGCAGGATTGAGGGCTCGGAGACACAGCTGCCCGCACCCACCGCTGCCCCTGGCCCGGCGGGCCCTCCCCCGGGCTCTAGGCCTTCTCTGTGTCCCCTGCGGAGCCTCACCCCCATAGCCTGTCCTCTGCTCCGAGATGTGCTTCTCCAGGCGCAGCCATAGCTCCGTGGGCCCATCCGCCGCCCCGGGGGCGCCCGGCCCCACCAGGATGAAATGTGAGTGGTTGTTGTCCAAGGGGCAGAAGGGGCCTTTGCTGTCACCCTCATCCTCTGGGTAGTGAACCAGGGTGTCCTCCTGGGCCCACGGGGGAGACAGACGGCACCCTCAGAGGCAGCTGGGACCAACCCAAGGAGCCCCCTCCCTGCCCCAGAGGCCCCGGGTAGGCCACCCTAGGCCTGTTTCCCCACCCCCTGGACTGTCGGTGGGGCCTCCGACAGACCCCAGGCTGGTGGGGGGGGGGGAGCAAGGACAGAGTGCCAGGTCCTCGCCCAGGGCTGTGGGGACCAGTGGGGTGGGGGTGGAGGTGAGCCTGGCCCCTTTGGGCTGCTGCCCTGAGGCGGGGGCTTGGGGCCCAGGTCTGCACTGCTGCCCGGGGTGCCTGGTGGCCCCAAGCTGTTCCCTAGGCAATGCTGCCACCTGCTGGCCACACAGCGCTTCCTGGGCTCCTCCTCCTCCCTCCTTCTCTTGCCCCTTCTCTCCCCTCCCCTCCTCCCCCAGCTCAGAGCGTTGTCCCCATGGCTTCGCCTCTTGCTTCAGTCCTTCAGAGCACCTGTCTGAATCACCTGTGTTATCCCCCTGAGCGCGTGAGCCCCTGAGGGCAGGGGTCTGTCCCTCCTTCCGTCGGTCCACTGCTGTCTCCCAGCCCCCAGCGCAGGGCCTGGAGAGGTCAGCCCGGAGACCCCACTGGTGACCCCGCAGTGGCCTGGTGGCTGGTGCTTGAGATGGTGCTCACCTGGGCGTCGTCCAGAAGCTGGCGGTGCAGGACCTGGCCCAGCGGGGCGATGCCAATGGCCACCACTCGGACCTTGGCGGACGTGCTGGCCAGAAAGTGGTCCCGCACGGCCTGCCCCACGTGCCGGGCGAGGCCCACGCGGAGCGCGCTGGTGAGGATCCAGGCCCCTGCGGGGACAGATGCTGGGCTCCCTGTGCCCGGCTCCTTGAGGCCCTCTTCCAGGCAGCCCCCCCCCCCACTCACCACCCTCTTCAGGGGACGGCCCTGCCCCCTCAGCCCAGCCAGCAGCAAATGCTCTGGGTGCTGGGGAGGCCTTGTGTCATGGGTGGGGAAACTGAGGCCCAAGGAGGGCAGGCCCCTGGCCCAGGCCACCAGCAGCTCAGGTCCGGCCAGGCCCAGGTCCAGGTGCCCAGGTGCCCAGGTGTCCAGCCCACCAGCAGCTCAGGTCCGGCCAGGCCCAGGTGCCCAGGTGCCCAAATATCCAGCCCCCCAGCAGGTCAGGTCCGGCCAGGTCCAGGTGCCCAGGTGCTCAGGCGCCCAGGCCACCAGCAGCTCAGGTCCGGCCAGGCCCAGGTGCCCAGGTGTCCGGCCCACCAGCAGCTCAGGCCCAGCCAGGCCCAGGTGCCCAGGTGTCCGGCCCACCAGCAGCTCAGGTCCGGCCAGGCCCAGGTGCCCAGGTGTCCGGCCCACCAGCAGCTCAGGCCCGGCCAGGCCCAGGTGCCCAGGTGTCCGGCCCACCAGCAGCTCAGGTCCGGCCAGGCCCTGGTGCCCAGGTGTCCGGCCCACCAGCAGCTCAGGCCCAGCCAGGCGCAGGTGCCCAGGCCACCAGCAGCTCTGCCTTCTCAGGGCAGTGGCAGTGCCCCTCACGCGTGGGGTGTCCACCTGGGGGCCCGGCGTTCCTGGTGGGCTCTATCTGGGACAGAGCAGGTCCCAGCCCATCCAGTTGCCCAGGTGGGCTGGAAGTGGGGTGCTCCTCCCCATGACACAGCAGCCGGCCCCATTGGGCTCCTAAACCTCTTTTCTACATAGGGCCTTTGGGAGCCCCCGTCCTCATGCCAGCTTTTCTGCAAACAGAGCGGCTGAGAATCCTGCCCAGTTACTGGTTTCTGACCCTGAGGGAGGTGGGGGAGGGCGGAGAGCTGGGTGGGTGGCATCTCCCCGAGGCTGGTGGGCCCCACGAATGGGGGGAGGCTCTAAGGCAGAAGCAGGACCCTCCTGGGGGGTGGCCATGTGCCTGTAGGAGCCCTCAGGCCTGCTGGTGCCGTACCCCGCAGGGCTACTGGCTCCTACGCACATCTGTCCACCCACCCATCCACCCACGCGCGCACCTCACACACTCGCACGCACAGACCCACCGACGCACATGCGCACCGTCACACGTGAGCACACACCCACGCACGCACCCACGCACGCCCGCGGAGGGCCGCAGGGAGGGGCGGCCTCGGGAGTCCGCCCCAGCACGCGCCCGTGGCCTCACCTGTGGTCTGCGCCACCTTCACCAGCCCCTTGCGCAGCACGTCCCTGAGCCAGGGCTTCAGAGCGAAAGGCCTCTGCTCGCCCACCAGGGACACCACCAGGCTGGGGGTCGGCAGGTGCCACTCGGCCAGCATGAGGTCGAAGAGGGCTGCGGGGGCCACGTCGCTGGGCACCTTCACGAACTGCGGGGGCAGGGAGCTGGGCAGCTTTGGGGCAGCCGGGCACGCCCCCCCACACTGGGCACCAAGGGAAGCTAGGTACGGGGGGTGGGCACCAGCGAGGATGGATGTGGGGGTGGGCACTG